CGAAAAAAAAAAATTTGATGCCCCCGAGAAGGCTTTACATTTTTAAAAAGACAGATGGGAGCCCCGAGAAGGGTTCATATTCTAAAAGAAAACATTTGGCGCCCCCGAGAAGGTTTTATATAAAAAAAAAACATTTGGGACTCCCGAGAAGGTTTCGCATTCTATAAAATTAATCCACTTCAAATAATGTTCAATAAATCATTGTCTTTATCTGTATTTCCAGATTTTTGGAAAAAGTCCTTTGTCTTGCCAATATTTAAAAGTGGCTCTAGAAATATTATTAGTAATTATCGCGGTGTCTCTAAATTACCATTTATTCCTAAGATCTTTGATGCAATTGTTGCAGATATTTTATTTGCTAGTGTGAAAGAAACTATTATTACTGAGCAACATGGTTTTTTCAGTGGGAGATCAACTACCACCAATTTATTTCTTTTTACGGAATTTGTTACTAATATGAATGAACTGGGATCGGAAGTGGATTGTATTTTTACTGATATTAGCAAAGCATTCGATTCAGTCAACATTAAACATTTACTGAATAAATTAAAACATTTTGGGATATTTGATCCTTTGCTTGGCTGGATAGAATGCTACTTAACAAATCGTAAGTCGCACGTTGAATTTAATGGCATATTATCTAAATCAATTGATGCTTGTTCTGGTGTTCCGCAAGGTTCCCACTTGGGACCTATTCTGTTCTTATTATATGTCAACGATGTAAAATATGTATTTCAAAACAGTCTTTTTCTATTATACGCTGATGACTTGAAATTGTTTCGAGCTATCAATTCTCCCTTTGATTGTATTTTACTTCAAAATGACCTAGATAAGTTTAAAATGTGGTGTTCAGATAATAGTCTTAAGCTTAACGTACACAAATGTAAATCTATGAGATTCTCTAAAAAAATTGTTAAAGTACCTGAATTCAACTATAATATTTCGGATGTAGTTGTAGAACAAGTAGCATATTTTTGTGACTTGGGTGTAATGTTAGATCCAAAATTAGCCTTTACTCTACATGTTGATAAAATTGTCAATAAAATTAATAAAACCTTGGGATTTGTTCTAAGACAATGTCAGGAGTTTACTAGCCTTCGTGTCTTTTACATTTTATATAATTCATATGTTCGCTCATTATTAGAGTACTGCTGTATAATTTGGTCACCTTACTATCAGCTCTATATATCTAGACTTGAAAAAATTCAAAGAAAGTTCATTAAATTTTTATGTTTTAAACTAAATGTTATATTTGATAGGAATAATTACGAACTCATAGTTAAATATTTCGGGCTTAGTTTATTAATAAGTCGTCGCCATTACTTTGATTTGTGCTTTGTTTTTAATGTGTTAAATAACCGTGTAAATTGTTCCGACATTCTTAATCTGTTTTCTTTACATGTACCTAATCGCGCCACAAGAGGTTCTCATTTGCTCCAAGTCCCTTTCCATCGCACACTATATGCTCAAAAATCTCCGTTATGCCGCATGGCTAAACTGGCGATGGAGTATAATGATCTGAACTTTTGTGGTGTGTCAATTAATGTTTTTAAGAGGGAGCTGAAGAATGCTTTAAATATGTAAAGTGTAACTATTGTTATGATTTGTAATGGTATATTCCGTAAATAAACTATTATTATTATTATTATTATTATTAAAAAAATATTTGGGACCCCCGAGAAGGTTTTACATTTTTGAAAAAGACAATTGAGACCCTGAGAAGGTTTCACATTCTATAAAAAAAACATCTGGGATCCCCGAGAAGGTTTTAGATTAAAAAAAACATTTGGAACTCCGAGAAGGTTCCACATTCTAAAAGAAAATATTCGGCGCCCTGGAGAACGATTTACATTCTAAAAAAAACATTTGGACCCCCCAAAAAGGTTTTACATTTTTAAATAAGACAATTGGGACCCCCGAGACGGTTTTACATTCTATAAAAAATATTTCGCGCCTCCGAGAAGGTTTCACATTATAAAAAAAAAGAGAAAATTGACACCCCCGAGAAGGTTCTACATTTTTAAGGAGCTGGGACCCCCGAAAAAGTTTTACATTAAAAAAAAGGGTCGAAAGTTATTTGGGCAGGACTTCCCTCGCCCCCGAATTACAATGCCACAAATGCCACAAATCCCCCTTCTTTGAAAAATTAAAAAAATTGATTTTACGAATTTGTATTCGGGATCCACTAAGAAGGTTTTACATGAAAAAAGACAAGTGGGACCCCCGAGAAGGTTTCACATTCAATAAAATATATTTGGGGCCTCCGAGAAGGTTTTACATTAAAAAAAACATTTGGGACACCTGAGAAGGTTTTGCATTTTTAAAAATGACAGATGGGAGCCCCGAGAATGTTTCACATTCTAAAAGAAAACATTTGACGCCCCGAGAAAGTTTTACATGAAAAAAGAGAATTGGGAGCCCTGAGAAGGTTTGACATTCTAAAAGAAAACATTTGGCGCCCCTGAGAAGGTTTTACATTAAAAAAAATATATTTGGGGCCCCCGAGAAAGTTTTACATTTTTAAAGAAGACAGTTGGGAGCCCCGAGAAAGTTTCACATTCTAAAAGAAAACATTTGGCGCCCCCGAGAAGGTTTTACGTGAAAAAAGAGAATTGGGACCCCCGAGAAGGTTTCACATTCTATAAAAAAACATCTGGTGTCCCCGAGAAGGTTTTACATTAAAAAAAAATTTGGAACTCCGAGAAGGTTCCACATTCTAAAAGAAAATATTCGGCGCCCTGGAGAACGATTTACATTCTAAAAAAAACATTTGGAGCCCCCCAAAAAGGTTTTACATTTTTAAATAAGACAGTTGGGACCCCCGTGACGGTTTTACATTCTATAAAAAAACATTTGGGGCCTCCGAGAAGGTTTCACATTATAAAAAAAACAAAATTGACACCTCCGAGAAGGTTCTACATTTTTAAGAAGCTGGGACCCCCGAAAAGGTTTTAAGGGGGACTTTCTTTGAAAAATAAAAAAAATTGATTTTGCGAATTTATATTCGTGACCCATTAAAATAAATATATAAGGTTTTTATAAATGATTCTAAGGGCGCAGTTGGCCATGGATTTCAATAATCCGGCTTCGCTGAAATTATGCCCGTGATTATGCATCATTATGACAGTTCTCACTTGTGACGTGTCATTTAAAGTCGTCGTTTGTATTGTTTTAATGTTTTTCAACGGCGAATTACAGATTACTGTAATTATCTCGTTGATCCAAGCTCAAAACAACAAAACAGTCATTTTCAGAACTCTTGGTGGTTGCGTAAACGAAGAGTGTGTGTGTATTCTGTAACCGCTTGTAAACAAGAATACCTGGCCAAATACCGTGATTTAATAATTTAAGAAACATCGTTAAAGGCTCACATTAGAGATGTAATCAACAGATTTGTTCGAACTGGCAGTATCAACAAAGAGAAATCTCGTGGAAACTTCATCTGAGGAAATTGTTGGTGATTTGAAATGACTTGAGCAGAATTGAACAATTGAACAAGATTGGCGAAAGGATGTTACAGAACATTTTTGAAATTAAAAAGAGAATGAACATGTTCGACAGAATGATGAACATTTTCAACATTTACTTAATTTAATAAATTTGTTTCTTTTTATCGCAATGAATTAGTTTTATTAAAATATATGAAGCGATTAGGCAACCAGTTATACACATGTGTGTGGTCCATGGGCACTTAGTACGGATTTCCGTACAGTTAAGTCTGAGAGGCGGCACGTTTACATGACCTACTGCGACTCTATAATCATTTATAGAAATCCTGTTGATAAGTAATACCCGTAACCGCCTAAGAAGATAAATGACATCAAATGAATTCGTTTTGATACCCTATAATTTTTTGTTTTTGTTTCTCTACCACATATCACTTATTTTTTAATGACACACTGTATATTTTTTAGAGATCTTGTGGAGCTTGTTTTTTTGAATTCATTAATGTATCATACTTTAATCACCCATACTCCACTACTGTCCACTATCTAGTACTCCAACACATTATGTTACGAAAACACACTTGTTTATATTTGGTCGGCAACTCTGGAGTGACTTGGTCGTCCCCCTATGATAGGAACTGGATTAACAATTGCTCCAAAAATATGAATGCGTTGATAAAGGGCGATACTACACTTGTGGTGAGCTTCCCATTTAAAAATATTTCGGTCAACATTATTTCAGCAAGGACACGTGTATCAATTTCGCCACATTCAGTGCAATATTAAAAATAACACTGAGGTGTACCCTTTTAGAGATTTGAACAATAAAACAAATACAAGATTATGCTATTTTATAAAATTTATTATAAAGATTTTTGAGATGTCATGACATTGATAGGAAGATTGGGCAAATTTTGGGTAGCGTTTTACCACCTACACGATATTCCTCACATACCTATACAATACAATCGGTCCGGTAGTTTTGGAGATTATCTGTCTAATAAAAATCTGAACAGACCTAATCTTTAATACTTATCCGACTTAGAACAATGCATTTCTGTTGATTCCAAGAGTTCTGGAGCTTTATTCAAAGCAAAAAAGGAACATGTAAAATTCCAGGTCTTATGATCAAGACTGGAGTACGGAGCAGTTATTTGCTACCCCATCTACACAATCCATCGCAAGGAGATAGAGGCTGTACAAAGACAATTTTAAAATTCTGAGCTTTCTTACAAGACGGTGTTTACCCCCCACATTGTGTAGAGGATTCAGCTTGTTTGAAGAGATTTAATTTTACATCACTGTATGCTTGGCGAAATATGCTCTTGATGAGTAAATATTATTAATATTAAGTGCATATTTATGCACATTTTTGTAAAATTTTCAAATTATTTTAAAATACAATTCATTGAAATGACGTTAACAAATAATTGGTATTGGCATTTAACCATCAACATGATATTTCTAATATACATACAAAATTTGACTACAAAAATTGCAAAAATCTAAAAATTGAGTTCGGTCACTCTAGTTTAAAGTTCAGTAAAACAAGTCTCAGTTCTTATGTAACTTTATTCATCACATTGCAAATACAGTCAGCTTTGGTATAATTTCAGTATTTTGCGGGCGCCCTCGCGCCCAAACCCTTAACAACATACACTACGAATAAATCATACAATATTCGATACCCTTATCAAAATATTTATACAATTTACAATAATCTTATGTACATCGTAAAATAACCTAAACTCAACTATATTTGGTGTAAAATTGACTAACATCTTTTTGGTAACGAAAAAACAGTAACTTAAAACGTACGTCAGAACAATAAAATATTTACACATAATTCTCGCTCCTCACGGGCATGAGACTTGTCACAGCTTTACAAGGATTTATACATATTTTTTACATTATTTTACATGTAGATACAGGTATGGATGTCAGGTCTACTACGTGTCTTCATCTCCCGTTTCCGAGCCGAGGTCCTCCCCCTTTTGCAGGCAGTCCCTAATTCCCCGAAGGATGATCTCGACGCGCCGGTCAAGCGCCTCTAAGTGGGGCTCCCACAGCACGGGCGCCACGGGATCCTTGGCCAAGCTCTGGCTCAAGGCTTCGCCCAGTTTCGTGGGGCCGTTGTGGAACCTGCAACGAGGACATTATGGTAAATTGTTTAGGTAATTGAGTATGCGGGAAGGGCGACCGGGATCAGGGCCGGAGCTAAACGGGTTTGGAAAAACACGAGTGGGGTCTTTCGGACGAGTGGCACTTGATGAATTCAAGTTTTTGTTGGGGGCTTACACGTAGAAGTGGACAGTATAATATTTAATTTCAGGTGTAATACAATGTTCATGAAATTTGTACAAGATTATGTAATTATTTTGCTTCGACGCAGAATTTCATTTATCTTTCCATTGCAGGTATTGGCTGCTCGTTAAATAAAAAAAATTCGTCTTTGACCGAAATCGACTGCAATATTTTTACTTTTATGTATATATATAGATTTCGATAAGATGTTATAAATCCTAACAATAATAAATATTTTTTTTACTAGTTTGAAATTTTATTTAAAAAATGACGTCTGTCAAATACTTCAAGATTTCAGGGTTACCGTTAATTTTTGTTACATTTTTACAGGCTAAAATCTAAATTTGCTTTTAATTATTGTTAAAGGAGCAACTTGGTTTTAGTCTGTCTTAAAAATTTTGATTTTTTGAAAAGAGGGAAAAAATGCGACAAAAACTGTAGTATAAAAAATGAGACAACAAATGAAAAAAGGGGATAAAGAAATATTGCCAAAATAAGATTCCAAAAAATTTCGAAAAAATCAAATAGAAAGTACATATAAGGCACCAGAAAATTTTGTAAAAATGTATTAATGTCTTTACAATTTTTTTCTATATTTTTTGAACTTTTTTGTTTTTTTTTTCATCGACATTCCATATTGTATTGCATTTTGCACTTTTTTGTGGCTAAATGCAAAAATGCAATATATAATGTCAATTAAAAAAACGCCAAAAAAAGGCTATAAAAAAATGAGAAAAAAAGATATAATAGTGACGAAAAAAATGCAGCAAAAAGAGGAATAAAATAGAGACAAAAAAATGCGATAGAAAATGAAGGAAAAAAAATCCGGGGTGCCAAAAAATTAAGCAAAACATATCTATAAGGTGACAAAAAAATGAGGAAAAATAAATGAAGCAAAAAATAAAGGCAACAAGGAAATCGACAAATAAAGAACAAACAAAGTGTGCCAAAAGATGCAAATAAAAAAAAGTGAGAAAAAAGCAACAAAAAGAAGGAAATAAAGCACTGTTGGTCAAAAAAAGTTCCAAAAATTGTCGAAAAAAAAAAGAATCAAAAATTTAAGGCGCTAGTAAATAAATATAAGGTAACAAAAATCGACAAAAAAACGCAATATGGAATGTCAATGATCAAAAAGACAACAAAAAATGAGAAAAAAAAAGGCAACCAAAAATGAGAAAAAATAAGCAATATGAACGTGATAAAAAAATCCAGCGAAAAGAGGGACAAAAAAATGAAGCAAAAAATCGACAAAAAAAGAAGAGAAGGAAAAGATGGCAAAAAAAAGCCAACGGAAACGACAAAAAAAGTGCAACAAAAAAAATGAAAAAAAAAGGGAGAAAAACGAGACAAAAAACCTAAAGAAAGCGACAAGAAATAAAGCAACAAAAAGATCATCAAAACTGCAATAAAAAAAGAAGATTAAAATGCACCAAAGCGACAATTAAAAAGTAACAAACATGTGAGAGAAAAAAACCGACAAATAAATTAAAAAAACGGTGCCCAGCCGACAAAAAATTGCAACAAAAAGACGACAAATTATGCAACAAAAAAAAGTGAGAAAATAAGTGACAAAAAAAGAACAGAAAAATGTGCCAAAAATCTATGAAAAAAGGAAATAAAAAGCAACAAAAAGGAGAGAGATAACAAATAAGGTTCCCAAAAATTTTGAAAAAAAGAAGAAAAACATATAAGACAACAAAATAAAATCGACAAAAAAATGAAAAAAAAGCAACAAAACAAATAAAGCAAAAAAGGTAACCAAAAAAGGCGGCAAATATGACAAAAAAAGTGTAACAAGAAAAAGGAATAAAAAAAATGGGAAAGTGGAACAAGAAAAGGTAAAAAACAATAGAGTAAGAAAAAATACAGCAAGAATAAATATAGCAAAAAATAAAAAAAAAAAATCAAAAAAGGGCTACAAAAAATAATGAAGGAATGAGAAAAAAAGATATAATAGTGGCGAAAAAAACGCAGCAAAAAGAGGAATAAAATAGACACAAAAAAAGGCGATAGAAAATGAAGGAAAAAGAAACGTGACAAAAAAAAAACGGCGGCGAAAAAAAATACAAAAAAAAAACCGTAAAAAAAATGAAAAGGCCACAAATAATAAGGCAACAAAAAGGGCGTTACAAAAATGCATAAAAAAGGTAACAAAAGGTAACAAAAGGTAAAAAAAGGGACAAAATAAATGACGAAAAATAAATGAAGCAAAAAATATAAAGCAAGAAAAAAAATCGACAAATAAAGAACAAACAAAGGGTGCCAAAAGATGCAATAAAAAAAAGTGATAAAAAAGCAACAAAAAGAAGGAAATAAAGAACTGTTGCCTAAAAAAAGTTCCAAAAATTGTCGAAAAAAAGAAACAATAAATATAAGGTGCTAGTTAGCATAAATATAAGGTAACAAAAATCGACAAAAAACGCAATATGGAATGTCAATGAAAAAAAGACAACAAAAAATGAGAAAAAAAAGCAACAAAAAAATGAGAAAAAAAAAGAAGCGATATGAACGTGATATGAAAATCCAGCGAAAAGAGGGATAAAAAAATGACAAAAAAGGGCGACAGAAAATGAAGCAAAAAATCGACAAAAAAAGATGAGAAGGAAAAGACGGTAAAAAAAGCCGACGAAAACGACAAAAAAGTGCAACAAATAAAATGAACAAAAAAGGGGAGAAAAGGGAGACAAAAAAAGGTAACAAAAAACCTAAAGAAGGCGACAAAAAAATAAAGCAGCGAAAATAGCAATAAAAAGACCATCAGAACTGCAATAAAAAAAAGAAGATTAAAATGCACCAAAGCGACAATTAAAAAGTAGTGAGAGAAAAAAACGACAAATAAATTTAAAAAATTGCAACAAAAAAGGAACAGAAAAAGGTGCCAAAAATATATGTAAGAAAAGGCAATCAAAAAACATTTTGGAAAAAAGAAGAAACAAAAAAATGCAGCAAAAAGAGGGACAAAAAAGTGATAAAGATTGAAGCAAAAAACAAAAGAGATAAAAGATCAAGCAAAAAATATAAGGCAACAAAATAAAATCGACAAAAAAAATGAGAAAAAAAAAGCAACAAAACATATAAAGCAAAAAAGGTAACCAAAAAATTGGTCGAAAGTTGTTTCTACAGAACTTCCCTCGCTCCTCAAGTACAGTGAAACATATCCAGCATTCTCGAGTGTTTATTTATCTTAATACATTGAAAGAATGTCACGTAGAAATTAGTTTGATTTGAATTAATCCACAGTAGAACAAAATGATCTGAATATTATAATTCTTATTTTTTTATTATTATTATAAAATCGACAAATAAAGAAAAAAAGGTGTTAAAAATGCAAGTAAAAAGGGGCCATTAAAATAAAAATAAAGATAACTGGATAAAGAAAGAACTGTTGGCAAAAAACGGTTCAAAAATTTTCAAAAAAAAAAATATAACGCACTAGAAAATTTAATATTTTTTTTACTAAGGCGATAAGAATCGATTAAAAATGCAAAATGTTATCGACGAAAAACGTCATAAAAGGTCACAAAAAATGAGAAAAAAAGGCGGCATGAAAGTAATGCAAAAAAAAATCAGGAAAAAGAGAGGCAAAAAAGTGATAAAAAAGGACGATAAAGAATAAAGCAGCAAAAACAGCAACCAAGAATAAGAAGAAAAAAAATGCAACAAAACGATTATTAAAAAGTAAAAAAAAATGTGAGCGAAAAAGGCAAATTAGAAAAAAAGTGACAAAAAACCTAAAAAACAAGAGTATAAAAAGCAGCAAATAAAGGCGACGAAAAATATGAGAAAAATAAGGCAAGTAACAAACAAATGTCAGAAAAACAGGCGAAAAAAAATTGCAACAAAACAAAACAAACAAAACAAACGAAGTGTCGAAAAAAAGCAACAAAAAATTAAGCAAAAAATATAAGATGACAAAAAATAAAACAACAAAAAAGGGACAAAATAAGTGGCAAAAAAACGAAACAAAAAATGAGGCAAACAAAAAAATTGGCAAAAAAAGAACCAAAAAATGGCACCAAAAATGTAACAAAAAAAGGTTTCAAAAAATTTGGAAAAAAAAACAATAAATACAAGGCGCTAGCAAAATTTGTAAAATATGAGGCGATAAAAAAATCGAGAAAAAAATGCAGACAATGAAAAACGGCAAGAAAAAAGGAGAAAATAAGGCGACAAAAGTGACGAAAAAAGCAGGATAACGAGGCACAAAAAAAGTGACAGAAAATGAAGCAAAAAGAAAAAAAAACGAAATAGACAAAAAATTAAGCAACAAATATAAGGTAACAAAAGAAAATCCATACAAAAAGATCAGAGAGAAGCAAAAGTAACCAAAACATGAGGAAAAAAGGCAACAAAAGATGACAAAATAGGGATAAAAAAAGGCAGAAGACGTGACAAAAATAAGAAAAACTAAGCAGAAATATATAGTGATAAAAAATAAATCATAAAAATCACAACAAAAAGTTTATAAAAATTGCAGTCAAGAAAGAGGAGATAAAAAATGTAAAATTAAACTAAAAACTAAAAAGTAACAAACATATGAGAGAAAAAGCAACAAAAAAGTGTATAAAGAAATAAATAAATGAAATAACAAAATATAAGGCAACAAAATCGACTAAAAAAACGGCAACAAAAAACGATAAAGAATGTAAAAAAAGTAAAAAAATGGTGCCACAAAGCGACAACAAAAGGACAATAAAAAAAGTAACAAAAATGTGACAAAAAAAATCGACAAAAAGAGACAACAATAACGAAAAGGTTAAAAAAAAAATAATAAAAAAGGTGGTAAAAAGCGACAAGACAAAAACGAGGGCACAAAAAAGATCTCAATAAAAAAGAAGATAACAGAAGGCGTCACAAAAAAAAAGTGGAAAAAAACGAAAAAAATGAGGCAAAAAATATAAGACAGAAAAAATCTTCAAAAAATGGGATTAAAAATAGTGACGAGAAAAATACGACAAAAATACTATAAAATAAATGCTACAAAAAATGAGGCAACAAAATCTCAAAAAAAGGTGCTAAAAATGCTACAAACATTTTATAATGCAAAAAAGAAGGCAATAAAAAAGCAACAAACTGTGAGAAAAAAGAGCAATAAAAAAACAACTAAAAAGAAAAAACACAAAAAAGAAGGCTAAGAAAAAATGCAAAAAAGCATTACAAAGAGCAATAACAAATATGATAAAAAAACCGACAAAAAACAGAAAAAACGCAAAAAAGCATACAAACGCACAAAAAAGTACCAAAAA